AGCTGTGGATTTCAGGTGCTTCCTAAGATGAGTCGGACGCGCCGCAGCATCATTTGAGAGCTGGATGCCCTTGTTGGAGGTCTAATTGTTGGCAGCGAGCAGGAATTTCAGTCATGCTTAATTGCGCCCTGCGCTTTTGAATGGCATCCAAACCACTCCAGAGGTAATGTTGTCTTTCACGATCTGGCAATTATCACCATTCACCGCTGAGGTGCTGCACTTCAGTTCCGCCTGTACGTATGTTGCCAGTTTGTGTTCTTCTGAGGGGAATGCAAAGAAAACACATTTTCTCCCTCACTTTTATCTACCTAAGTCCTTCAGTCTCTCATCCTCTCAGCGCGAGGCGGGAGTCTTGTTTTGTTGATAGAGGGCATCTGTCCACGAATGGCAGTGATGTGATGAGATTAGTCAGATTGGACAGACCACACTTCAAAAACAGGCCTAAAGGGCAGTGCATTAGCATTGCATCCATTCAAACATGACACAGCTTCCCCTGACTCCGTCCTTCAATGTGCAATCCTATTTTGGAAAGGCCAAACCATCAAACTCTAATCTACATTACGTTCATTATGCCTGGCTTCATTCTGAATTTCTCACACTTAACATGTTGCTTTCACAAACCGTATCAAGTAGGTCATAGTTCAACAAGGGATGTTAAAATACAATTTAAGATTTCTGGTTTAACTCACAAAATCACAGCAGACAATGGGGTTAAAGGAAAAGTTCACCCAAAAATGAAATTTGCTGAGAATGCATTCACCCTCAGGCCATCCAAGATGTAGATGAGTTTGTTTCTTCATCAGATTTGGAGAAATGTAGCATTGCATCACTTGTTCACCAATGGATCCTCTGCAGTGAATGGGTGCCGTCAGAATGAGAGTCCAAACAGCTGATAAAAACATCACAATAATCCACACCACTCCAGTCCATCAGTTAACAGCTTGTGAAGTGAAAAACTATTTGTTTGTAACAAATTCATTATTAAGACGGTTTTCACTTAAACCGCTGGTTACGGCTAAAGAATGAGTTCTCTATTCATAATAGAGCAATGAAGAAACAAACTCGTCTATATCTTGGATGGCCAATATTAGGAAGGTGTTTTTTTTTTGAGTGCTTTAAGGGACACCTGGGTAAAAGATGCTTCTATTTATTTATTTATTTACTTACTTACTTAACCACTAGTTGGCACAAAATCTCACCGCAGCACTTAAACATCCAAATTTCATTATACAGGTAAAAATTGGTTGATGCTTTGAAGCTAGTCCTTCTGAACTCTTTAGGTTGATGTTTAATGTTTTGAAAAGTATTATATAGATTGATGTAGAAAGTAAAAATAAGAAAATGTGTTTTCAAACAAAGGTCTTGCTAATGATTTTCAGTTTTGTTCAAGGTAATTAAATTAACAGTTTTTCAAAAACTGAAGAATATATATGTATGGAATTTGGGTTAAAAAGCGCCCCTGTTGATGGGGCTAAAGGCAAAGTAATTGACATGATGATAAATAGCTGTCTGACTTTTACATTTGTTGACATGACGTTAGATTCATAGTTAGATTCAAATGTGACCCTGGAGCACAAAAAACGTAATTTTTTATTAGTAATATGCATTACTAAGAACTTCATTTGGACAACTTTAAAGGCGATTTTCTCAATATTTTGATATTTTTGCACCCTCAGATTCCAGATTTTCAAATAATTGTATCTCTGCCAAATATTGTCCGATCCTAACAAACCATACATCAATGGAAAGCTTATTTATCCAGCTTTGAGAAGATGTATAAATCTCAATTTCGAAAAAAATTGACACTTATGACTGGTTTTGTGGTCCAGGGTCACAAATAGTCAATAGCTTTTAATAAATTAAGCCTCCACCTTAGAGATAAATCCCATGTTTATAATGAAAAATATGGTAGGTATTAATCATGTCATGTAATAAAATATATTTATTGTTACTACTGTAGCAAATTTTCCTTATGGTGTTCCTTTAGCCCTGTTGCACCCTATATATTGTAATGATTTTTGATGTTAGCAAGTAAACAAACCAAAATAATTATGTAAATCTTTTAAAACCATTATTTACTTTCATGATAAAACTACTACCAGGCACAGTAATACAGATCCAAAACAGCATGACAGCATCTATATTCACTGGCACATTTTCAACCTTTGTCAACATCCTTGTCTTTTGTCAATTGATTTTGCATAATCTCTCTAACGCAACTCAAGCATGTTTTCATTTTTGGAGAAGAATTTACTCACTCACTCTTAAGTCCCAGTCAGGGGCTTCTTTGGCATAATGGATGCAGCATTTGGGCCTGACATGTGAATGGACTGCAAGGATTAGTGTGGATTAATGCAGAGTTTGCCTGATGGCTGCTGAGATTTATCTTAGCGGTACAATGTGTTATTGCTCCCAACAGGCCGCACCCACCCATCTTTACTTTGTAATAAGGTTGGATAATGCCGGCCCCTGTTTCCAACTTACGAATTCATTGCTCCTCGTGTGACAAGGTGGAGGTTGAGTGACAGGTTAAACGGCTGTGTGAAAACAAAAACATCACTCACCCGTGCCGAGTGCTAGTATTAAGACATCAGCATGAACAGCAGTCACTGTAGCCTTTGATATCAAACGTGCAGATCTGTCATTCGGCATGAGGATCTGTTGACGCATTACCGCACCATTGTGACCCTTTACTTATTAATCTGTCACAGCTGTATGCAAGCTATTAGAAATGCATTAGTTCTGGTTTAGTTTAGTTCTCAGCCTATACATTTGAAATGAGAGGGGATAGAATTAATCTAAAGGACTGATTGCACTTCCATCATTCAGATGAGAATGTGCCAGTGTGTGGCAAATTTCTCCAATTTCTTCCACCAGTCTTTACATGTCTGTTATTGGACAGTCCCCAGTCACACAGAGAAACACAGTCATGATTCTCCCTCATTTTGCCCAAAACTGACATTGCTGGGAAACTGTGGTAATAGACTGCTTATGCAAGTCTCTCTCTAAGGGGCCTCTTCCTCTCTCTCTCTCTCTCTCTCTCTCTCTCTCTCTCTCTCTGAGGTCATCGGTAGCCAATTACTTCTAAAGGCTACTACAGTGACCACAGAAGTATTTGGACACTTAGGTTACACTTAAAAATTTATGAATGTTGTGGCATTAGATGACAAAAGCAAGTGGAATTTTTCACAAACAGACTTTACATAAGCAAAATATTTAACGTAAAATTTAACCTGGTCGCTGAGGAAATACTTCAACTTCGCGCTGTGGATCGCCGGATCGGCTTTCACCGTGGACGAAGCGGAGTCCAGCCCGGGGTCGTCACATGTGGTTGCCGCAGGCATCACAGTATGGTGAGGGAGGGACGTAACATTTCCGTCACACGCTTGAGGAATTCGGCCAATCACAACGCACTGGATAGCTGGCCAATCACAGCACACCTCGCTTTTTCAGACCGATGAGCTTTGTAAAAATCGACACGTTTCAGAAAGGCGGGGCATAGAGGAGAAACAATAATGTACAGTATGTGGAAAATAATGTGTTTTTTAACCTTAAACCGCATAAACACATTGCATTACAACAAATACACAAAATAATGTTCTTTTTAACAGCATCATATGACCCCTTTAAGAGAAGTGTGTTGAACAGCATGATCTGGAGCTTCAAACATGATAAGCTCGTGCAGATGTCCTGCATCATGTTTCCAGCGTGTTTACCAGAAGACCATAAAACTAAACACACTTCACATCAGCTAATATTCATGCATCTCAACACTGAACAGTCTTTTACTCACAGATTTCTTTCTCGTACGGTTCTGTGACTGAAATGAAAGTGAAACTCACTGATGTTCCTGCAGCTCATACACTTATTAATGACATTGATGATTAAAATAAACTCATATACACTCTA